GTGTGTGTGTGTGTGTGTGTGTGTGTGTGTGTGTGTGCGCAAGTATGAAAAATTGTGCTGTAAGCTACAATAATTTTAACATCAGTAAATACACACTAAAAAATACACATAATTTCATGTCACAAATAATTGTTTAATGAAATTATTTTTATCACAAAGGATTATTCTTCAGTTTCACATTGATGCAGGCTTTATCTGAAGCCGGCCCACAGCTGGCACATGTCTTTTCCTCCTTTTTCTCTGGAAATGTTGAAAAACACAAATACTGGATGTAGAAAATATCTGAATAAACCGGTCTGTCTGACAACGTGACTATTTTGTCAATGATGCTCAGTCATTCCTTTATTGGCTGTCATTAGCGAGTCGTAAATTCTGAATTTATGTGCAGTCCAACTAGTCAACAATCCAATAAAGTCCATATTTACATGTTTAATATCAGTAAATACTATATTTGACAACAGATAAAATCTATTTTAAATAAGGTTAAACATGAACATTGAAGGTGCTTAATGTTAGCATACAGGTTTTGCAATTAAAATAATTAATTTTGGTTAAATATGCATAATATTTACCTGTGAAACATAACCCTTTTATCTCCAGTAAACATGTTGCAACAATTTCTGCAGTTTATAGCAAAATATTTGTACCATTTGTACATTTATAAAGCGTTTGCACCGCGATACGTTCTGCTCATTTATTTCAATGGTTAGCATCAGCATTAGCTCAATGCATAAAAATCTCCCTTGCAAAGCACGCCCAGGTCACGTGATGCCCAATCCAGTAATATATATTAATGGTAAGGACTATCATAGTAAGAACTAGTATTTCCATTTCACAAAGCAAAAATTTTAAAGCAACTATTTTCAAATTTGTTTACTTCTTTCAAGAGAGAGGGTTAATTAACAACCCTCACCTGTCTCCACTCAGTAATCATCTGTTCCAGTGTATTTAGTCTCTGCTGTTCCTCCATAGATTGTACCTACTGGAGTGCACATTACAAATGAAGATGTGTATATATGAAATCAGTTTTCTATCACTTTTATCTGTCATCAGCATGATCAAAATGATTGATGACATTCTGGAAATTCCCTTTATGGACGCTGTTTGTAAATTAGAACCTATTTATACCACTTAAAATACAATGTCCTGTTCAATTTGTTCATTTTCTCTAAATTGTCAAAATTCCCTACTGATTTAATTATCCCAGAAATAAAAACAAATAAAACAATATCATTGTAGAAAAGATTTAACAAACGATACCAAACAACAAGAAATAAAAGGTGCTGTGAACAAGCTCAGAGAGACGTCTCTGATTTTTAAAGGTTATCAGGGTTTTTGTTTTTCTCTGAAGGAATGGTCAAGTATTATTCGATAGTCAAAGAAAGATGCTTCATAAGTATTCTTTTTAAAAATCTGGTTTTGAAGAAGCTGTGTGAAAGGACACAAACATTTGTTTTGATGAACTGTCACATTTAATTATACATCAGAGGCTAAGGTGTGTTGAGGTAATTATTAAGATTTTTTAACAAAAGTGGAGACAATATTTTTGAATAGTGATGCTGAAAATATGTGAGCACACCCACACAGGGAGTTCACCTGTAGGCATAAAAACTGTTGCACGGCTGAGAAAATTTAGAAATAGAATCCAGGAGAACCAAATCAACAGAACTTCCAGAAACATCACAATGAATCTGATTCATTTTCTGACTCTCATCTGGGCGCTCATCAGCACAGGTAACTCCACTTATTGTTTCTTTTTATCGGGTTCTACAGAGAGTAAATAGAAGATGAAATTTTACATCTCAAATTCTAACTAAAAAAATGAAAAAAGTAACTGTATTTGAAAAACTTTTTCATAAAAATGTTTTGAAAAAATGTGACTTCTGTATATAATCGGTCATTTATTTATTTTTCTTAATTTCAGCCGGAGCACTGCAGTGTATTACCTGCATTGATCAGGCATGTTCATCCACAGCACCAATGAATTGTAGCTCAGAGACGATGTGTATAACAGCTTCTATTCTAGGTAATTTCATTGCTATTTTACATCACTGTAGAAAAATATGCTCCATGATGCCCTGTGTATTTTCCATCAATATTAACAAACTGCTCTACGATTATGCAGCCACTTCATCTGGAACTACAGGAACACAAATCTACAAAGCATGCGCCTCATCAGCTCTGTGTCCGAGCACAGGCAGTCAGACTTTTTCAGTCAACTTGGGTGTGTCAGGTGCATTGGCCTCTGCTCAGTGCTGCAACACCGACAACTGCAACTCACAAACACTACCTTGTAAGTTTTTGTATTAAAAACATACTTTTTTTCAATTCTGATCCACTGATTATTTATAATAAATTGAAAATTCTCTGTGTTTTGTGTTTCTCTGTGTTTTAGTTCCCAGCACTCAGCCAGCTAACAGCCTGCAGTGTAATTATTGTGACCCTGCCACCTCTCAATGCACGTCTTCAGTACAATGTGCAGGGAGTGAGATCAGCTGCATCTCAGCAACTAGTGAGGGTTTTGCAGACGTATTACAACAATGTTCTACATTATGTGTTACAATAAAAAAATAATGAATTTAAATTTACATTACATGTAAAAAGAAATCTTATGAAAATATATTGCTTCAAAAAGCTGTCTTTTTAAAGGGAAATTTCCACTTATCTACTTAAAAATCTGAACGTGGTACACATGTAATTTCACTTTATTATTGAACCTTCACTTTTTATTACTTTGATCAGCTAAAATTGTGTGGAGAGTAACTAGCAGGAAGACAGTGTGTTTGTTAAAAAGAGACAATTTGTAAAAAAAAAATCTTCTGGCTTTATTTCCACAGTGCTGAATGGATCCACAACATCTCCAGCGCTCGGTTGTGTGAGTCCAAATACATGTTTAGTTGCTGGAAGCCTGGGTAGTTTACCGTTCATGCAGAATGTTGGTTCCATCATCAGTGGACCAATATGCTGTACAACCAGTTTGTGTAACAGTCCACTAACTAACACTACTACCGCAACAACCATCACAACTCCAATCACCACATCAATCACTACAACCACAACTCCAGCCAACATGCCAACAACCACAGCTCTGACCACCACCATGACAACAACTGCAGCAGAAACAACCACAATTGAAACTAGCACAACCACCCTGCCAATGACCACAACTCCAAAAACCACAACCACCATGCACACCACAACAACTGCAGTGTCAACCACTACAACCACAACTCCAACCACCAACACTGAAACAGCAACCACGACCACAACTCCGTCCACCATGCCAACAACTGCAGCACAAACCACCACAACCACAACTCCAACCACGACAACACCAAACCCAACAACCACAACCCCAACTACCACAACCACCATGCAAACAATCATGACTCCAAGATCCACGACAACCGCAACAACTGCAGTGCCAACTACTACACCTACAACTACAACCACCACCACTGCAACACCAACCA